GCTGCTGATTATCAGCCAAGAGGCTCCCTGAAACCAGGTTTCGGGGCTCTTGACTTGACAAAGTTATCCTCACCAAGAGCTGGATGATGCTGAGGGCCCAGAGAGGCCTCAGCCCCTACAGGGAGCACAGCTGGACCCCCACACCTAGCTGGGGGTCAGAGCAAGGGCCGCGGGGACCAGGGAAGGAGCCAGCCCGACTGGCTGGAATGGGGCCCACGAGGCCTTGTGGGTGGCAGGAAGGAGCTGGCTGGTTCCAGAAGAGGATGGGAAAAGCAAGGTTGGCAGCCATCCCCACAGGGCCATTTGCAGCCGCAGGTCACAGATCGAGGGCCCTGTCCCTGGGGGGGCCCACGTCGGCAAGGCGGGAAAGCCATCAGGCCTGGGGGCAGAGGGGTGGGTAGGTGGGTGGGGTAGGCCTTGGGGTTGGGGGACACCTGAGAGGTGCGGCCCGGGCTGAAGACCTTATGGGAGCTTACAGACCGCTCCCCCGCCCCCGAGAAGCCACAAATGCGTGGACACTATGTGTGTATCCACGCGCGCACATACAGTAGACACACAGACACACGCTCACAGACTTAAATAAGCACATCGACACGCTGACACACAATTACACACACAGATGTCCCCCAAAGTCAGTCATACTCTGAAAATGCGTATATGCCATCACACACACTCACACGGACACACATAGTACACACACACACACTCAGATGCGTACGGCAGCCCCAGCCCCCGAGGCTCACAGGTGCCACATACATCCCAGCACCCCGGCTCTTGTCACCCGCCAGCCTGGCCCTGCCTTCTCTCGTCCTTGGCCCAGGCTGCCCTAATCCTGGTCTCGTGTCCTGAAGCCAGAAGATAAGGGGCAGCTGCAGCCCCAGATAAAGGAGGCGCAGCCACAAATCCGGGGCGGCCCCGGCGGCAATGGGCAAAGAGCCCAGGCCACACCTGCCCTGTGCTTCCCCCCCTATCTGGCCTGGTTGAGAGGGACAGAGAGAGGGCAGGGGAGACAGAGACGTGGAGGGAGAGAGAGACAGAGGGGGGAGATGCCTGCGGGGGGGCGGGCAGCAGAGAAATGGAGACAGATGCAGAGAGAGAGAAAGATGGAGAGAGACAATACACGGGGAAAAGAGAAATGCAGAGAAAGATACGAGATAGACACACAGAGAGAAGGAAATACAGAAAGAGACCCCCCAAAAACTGAGACAGAAACAGGAAGAATAAAAGAAAGGGACAGAGGCAGGGGGAGCCCCAGTGACTGAGCTGAGTGCCAGTGGCACCTTCCCAAGGCTCTGCCCACCCCCTCCTGGGTGCCTCAGTCTCTCCACCTGCTCAGGGCCCCAGCGCGACCTGCCTCCCTCCTGCTTCCTCAGATCAGCCAAGGTCAGGCATTGATACCACTCACGCCTGGTTCAGGGTTGGCGGGGGACATCTTTCTCAATGTCCCCACGCTCTCCAGACTGACACCCGGGAAGTCCTCAGCTTCCTGCCAAATCCTCAGTGAAGGTGGGACCCCCCACCCAGCAGGTCCTGCCCCCTGTGCCTCAGTTTCCCTAGCTATGACAAGATGCATTCACTCAGCAAATGTTCACTGAGCATCTACTGTGTGCCAGGCCCGGTGCTGCATGGTGGCAACACAGAGTGACCGGAGCAGACCTGACTCCCATCAGCCCTGGGCTCATAGTTTAATGGGGAAGATCCTCAACGCATCCCTTTTCCAGAGAAGGAGAAGTTGAGAACAGAAGGGTGAGTGGAATGAGCAAGGTGACTGGGTGCAGGGAATAGTGTTCCTGGGAGAGGGAACAGCATGTGCAAAGGCTGGGAGGTAAGACCGGCTCATGGGAGGTCTGGAATGAACTTGGTGCTTGAGTTTAGGGAGTGAGGAGGTGAAGAGGGATGAAGCTGGGGAAGGCAGCAGGGGCTGGATTATGCAGGAAACTTGGGGCTGTGGTACAGGGCTGGGGCAGTAGGGAGCCATGGAAGGATTGGGAGCAGGGGAGGGCCATGGTCAGATCTGTGTTTTAGAAAGAGCTTTGGGAGGCTGGGCTGTTTGGGGCAGGATGGGAGATTGAGGCCTTGGAAGGGGTGTTGGTGGGAGAGGGGATAGACTATAGAGAGACCCTGGAGAGAAAGCCGGGAGGACATGGGGACTGACAGGCTGTTGGGAGAGAGACAGGCAGGGAGGCTGATGCCCAGGTCTCTGGCTAGGCGGTGGGGCAGCCCCTGGGCCAGGGACCTCTGCAGCCCGTGGATTCAGGTAGCGTTGGGATGAATACCTGTTCCCTCCACATAAGATCAGAGAGAAGAGTAACGGAGTTAATACACGAAAAGACCTTAGGACGGAGCCTAGCATACAGTAAGTGCTCAAAACTTGTCTAGCTACTGGTAAATGATTAATATTACACCATTATAATAACGTAATAAATAATAACATTTAACAGGAATTCCCTGGCGGTCCAGTGGTTAGGACTTGCGCTTTCACTGCTAGGGCCTCAGGTTCAATCCCTGGTTGGGAAACTAAGATTCCGCAAGCCGCGCAGTGCGGCCAAAAAAAAAAGCAAGCAATGAATAGTGTGTCACTTATATCAATACCATAGTTGTTAATGGCCAGTCCACAGTCTCCCTTTCTCCCCCTCCCCACAGGAAGCGTTCCAGGATTGCCTTACACAGAGGAGGCAGGTCATCACAGGGCACAGCCAGGGAGCCCTAGGAGGGTTCTCCTTGGAGGCTGAGGCTCAGAGAGGGGAGGCTCATTCCTGAGGTTGCCCTCTGTGGGCCTCGGTTTCCCCACCTGAACAACTGTCTCCCCAGAGTGGTCTGGGTGCCCCTGGGATGATGTCAGGGAGACGATGGTAGAACCTCAGGAGGCAATGGGACGGGCACCTCAGGAAGAAGCGAGCTCTCGTCCCTGGAGGTGGGTAAGGGGGGCTGAGTCTCCCAAGGACCGCTGTGGTTGCTTCCAGAGTCCCCGACTCCACTGTTTTATTCCCAGATTGTCCTATAGAGGGCGGCAGAGGCCAGAGATGGAAGACAAGCTGCTCCCTGCCCCCATTCCATTCTCTCCCAGGTCTTGGAAAAGCTGGTGCTGAGCCTGTTGTGGGCTCAGGCAAATCCTTTCCCTCCTCAGGCCTCAGTTTCTCCATCTGTCACTCAAGGAACACAGTCCCTGCCTCACTTCCTGCTCAGGGAAAGCTTTGTCAAGTTTAGCAGTGAAATGCAGGGGGGAGCTAAGGGATTGGTTATTCCCTTTCTGCACTGTGTTCATGTAATTCAAGGCAAATTATAGTAATAAAGTAACAGTAACAACAGTAGTCATTAATATTTGTTGATTGTTATTTATTGAATCCTTACTTTCTAAAAGATATTTCTATCAGCCCCATTTTTCTGATGAGGAGACTGAGGCACAGAGCAGTTAAAGGACAAGGTTCTAGACTTCCCTGGTGGAGCAGTGGTTAGGAATCTGCCTGCCAATGCAGGGGACATGGGTTTGATGCCTGGTCCAGGAAGATCCCACATTGCCGCGGAGCAACTAAGCCCGTGTGCCACAACTACTGAGCCTGTGCTCTAGCGCCCTCGAGCCACAACTACTGAGCCCACGTGCCACAACTACTGAAGCCCATGCGCCTAGAGCCCGTGCTCCGCAACAAGAGAAGCCACCGCAATGAGAAGCCTGTGCACCGCAATGAAGGGTAGCTCCCGCTCGCCACAACTAGAGAAAGCCCGCAAAGAAGTGCAGCAAAGAAGACCCAACGCAGCCAAAAATAATTAAATTTTATAAATAAATAAATAAATAAAGTTTTAAAAAGGACAATGTTCCGGGACTTCCCTGGTGGTCCAGACTCCGAGCTCCCAATGCAGGGGGCCCAGGTTCGATCCCTGGTCGGGGAACTAGATCCCTCATACATGCTGCAACTAAGAAGTCTGCATGCTGCAACTAAGAAGCCCATGCCACAACTAAAAGATCCGGCATGCTGCAACTAAAAGATCCTGCATGCCACAACGAAGATCCCTCATGCTGCAACTAAGACCCGGCGCGGCCAAAAATAAATATTCTAGGGAAAAAAAAAAAAAAAGGACAATGTTCCCAGATGGTAAGTGGAAGTTCTGGGATTCGAAACTGGCAGGCTGAGTCCAGAGCCCTGAGGTCCCTGTACTACATCAAGGCTCTTTCAGCAACAGGAAGCTTTAGGAGGATGCAACAGGGCATGGTGGGGACTGTGGAAAATGACTAGATTCCGCCGTCCTTGGCTGTTTGCCCTCCCACTTCCCTCGGGGTAAAATCTCAAGTTCTCCCAAAGGCCCACAAGGCCCTGCAAGACCTACCCACTTCACCTCCCTGCCCTCACCTCCTCCCGCTTTCCCCCTCCCTCACTCAGCAGCAATCAAACAGGGCTCACTGTTTCTGCAACACACCAGGCACGGTCCTGCCTCAGGGCCTTTGCATTGGCTGTTCCCTCAACGTGGAACACTTTTTCCTCTGATATCCCTATTTCTCTCCTTCACTTCTTTCGAAAATACTCAAATGTTACCTTCTCAGTGAAGCTTTCCCTGACCATTCTATTAAGAACTGCAACCACCAAAAATGGCTTTCCCACTTCCCCTTCCCTGCTTCATTACTGTCCGACATACAGTATACCTTACTTATGTATTATGTTCATTGTCTTCACCACTCCTATCTCAGCTTTTAAAGGCAAGGAGTTTTTGGTCTGTTTTATTCACTACTGTATCCTTAGCATCTAGGACAACATCTAGCACACAGGCACTCGATGAGTTGTTTGTTGAATGAACGCCCTAAATGAAAGTAGCAGTATTTAAACAATTAAAAACCCCATCAGGAAATCAAAACACTTCTGTGGGCCGATTGTGGCCGGCGGGAAGCCAGCTTCAGAGCCCCAAGCGGATTACTGAACGTTCCGGTTCCCGCAAAGGGCTCAGAGATATAAACGGGACCCGAGGCCCCACCCACTGTTAGGCTCCGCCCAACTGCGTCGACGCGCATACAATGGCGTCACTTGGAGCGACCCAGGCATGGGCATTTCACCAGTAGACCGGGGAAGACACACGCGCGACCCGGAAGGCCTCGCCGCAACACTCCAAAGCGGGTGTGAGGGGGGGCCGATGGCGGAGGGAGCGGTGGAAGCCCCAGCAGAGAGTGGTGGCGGTGGCGACCCAGGAACCATCGAGCCGGAACGAGGAGTAGCGTCCATTAAACTTCAGTGAGTCGCTGGGTCGGGGGAGCAGTTCACGGAGCCTTCCCGGCACCCGTAGCGCGGCCCGAGCGGCGCATGCCGGGAGCTGGGGCAGCGGCCCAGCGCGGGAAGCTCGCAGGCTCTTCTGTTTGGGCCTTTCCTTCGCTCGCAGGGTCAGCGAGCTCCCGTGGTCGCGCACGTTGGGGACTGTCACATGTGCGAAAGACACCGCGGTCCATGCTGGGGTGGGCGGGGTTTGAGGCGGAGGCCGCAGTGCATGCTGGGGAGTGTAGTCCCAGCATATGGCGGGAACAGCGCAAGCGCACCTCAAGCCAGCCAAAGTTACAGGCAGGGAATTGTGTCTGAAGTGAGTGCCCGGGGGCATGCTGGGGCTTGTAGGGCTGAAGGGCATGCTAGGAAATGTGGCGGTTCCGGACCCGTTGCAAGGCACGCGGGAACATGTAGTTTCCTTTAGCCTAACATAGCTGGGGGCATTCACACCTCACACCTGTACTTAGTCAGGCTGACACTGGGGACCCAGGAACAAAATACGTCCTCCCTGGGATTTCCCTGGTGGTCCAGTGGTAAAGACTCCGCCTTCCGATGTAGGGGACGTGGGCTTCATCCCTGGTGGAGGAACTAAGATCCCACTTGCTGGGGGGCAACAAAGCCCGCGTGCCACAACCACTGAGCTTGTGTGCTGCAAACTGCAGAGCCCATGCGCCCTGGAGACCGCGCGACACAACTAGAGAGAGAGAAAACCCGCACGCCACAACTAGAGAGAAGCCTGCGCGCCACAATGAAGACCACGCGTGCAGCAACTAAGACCCGACGCAGCCAAAAAATAATAATAAAGAAAATAAACAAAATAGGTCCTCCCTGTGGCCTTGAGGTGCTCCTAGGCTGGCGGCTGGCTAGTTCTAAGTAGTGAGCACCCCATCAGTAGAAGCATGTAATCAGGGACAAGTGTTCTCAGTCCCTTTCCCCAGCATTCATTGAATCTGAGCTCAGGGGAGGGACTTCTTCCACAAGCCCTCCTTTCCCCTGCTCCTCTGCTGTCAGATACCTAACCACCAAGGAGCACTTCCATGAATTCCTGGAAGCCAAAGGGCAGGAGAAGCCCAGCCAGGAAACCGAGGCTGGAGACCCTGCTGGCAATGACCTGGATGAGCCTGAGGCCAAGCGGATCCGGCTGGAGGATTGGCAGACAGAGGACAGGCAGACAGAGGAGGCTGTTGAGCCTGGGGAGCAGCCACAGGCCCAGAAGAGGGCCCGGGGTCAGAACAAATGCCGGCCCCATGTGAAGCCCACCCACTATGACAAGAACAGGCTCTGCCCCTCCCTGGTCCAGGTGAGTGTCATTGTTTCCAGAAAGTCCCAGAGGCCTTGAGTGTGAGCCTCTCTGCCCCCCATTCAACCTTCATGACGTTATGATGTAAGTATCGTTATTGTTCCCGTTTTCCAGGTGAAGAAACTGAGGTTTGGTGAGGTTACTGACTTGTCTGAGGACACACAGTCAGTAGGGGAGAGAGCTGAGGTTCAAACCCAGGCTGCCTGGCTGCCTCAGCATCTCCCTGTCCTCCCTCATTGCCTCCCTGTTTCCCTGCAGGAATCCACCGCTAAGTGTTTCTATGGCGACCGCTGCCGCTTCCTGCACGACGTGGGCCGCTACCTGGAGACCAAGCCAGCTGACCTGGGCCCCCACTGTGTGCTCTTTGAGACCTTCGGCAGGTGCCCCTATGGTGTGACCTGCCGCTTTGCCGGGGCCCATCTGGGGCCCGAGGGCCAGAATCTGGTGAAGGAGGGGTTGGTCCAGGCCCCGCCCATCCGCAATGGCCTGGACAAGGTCCTGCAGCAGCAACTGCGAAAGCGCAAGATCCACTTTAAGCATGCAGAGCAGGCCCTGCGCCAGCTGAGCAAGGGCCAGCTGCCAGGCCCCACCCCCAAAGCCACTGTCCCCGAGGTCATGGAGGCTGAGGGTGCCCCAGGGCAGGACAACTGTGACGCCCAGCAGGCCCCCCAGGGGCCGGGCACCGTTCCCCCTCCCAGGGGCCCTTTAAGGACCTGCGGGCCCCTGACAGATGAGGATGTAGTCAGGTTGCAGCCCTGTGAGAAGAAGCGGGTACGTGTCATGGGGTTCCTGCAGAGGACACTAGCAATGTTGGGGGCAGATAGAGATGGACACTCACTCCCAGCTCTGGAGGGTCCGGGCTGTGGCAGAGTGGGGCAGTGGGAAAGGCTTCCTGGAAGAGAGGGCATTGGGACTGGGGTTTTGACAGTTGAGTAGAAGTCTCTAGTGGAGGAGAACGTGGAGAAAAGAACATTCCTGGTGGAGGGATTGGTTGGCCTGTGCAGAGGCACGGCGGTGAAAGGGATCCAGGCTGATTGGGGCAGAACAAAGCGTGTGGGGCAAAGACCTGGGGAGGCTTGAGGCTTGAGAGGCCTTGAAAGCCACGTTGGAGGATGGAGGTTCATTGTGCATTTTCTTTCCCACCAGCTGGACATCAGTGGCAAACTGTACCTTGCCCCCCTCACCACGGTAGGACCCACAGTGAGGTGGGCCGGGAGCTGGCAGCGTGGTCATCCCAGCAGTACCCACTGCCTCCCCACCTTGGGGGCTTGGGGCCTGGGCGGGTGTCTGGGGTCCCTGCCTGCCGTGCCCTCACATGTGACTCTGTCCCCTGCTGTCGTCAGTGTGGGAACCTGCCCTTCCGGCGGGTTTGTAAGCGCTTTGGGGCAGATGTGACGTGCGGGGAGATGGCTGTGTGCATCAACCTGCTGCAGGGCCAGACGTCTGAGTGGGCCCTGCTCAAACGCCACCCCTGCGAGGATGTCTTCGGTGTCCAGGTCGGTGCAGCCCCGAGCGAGGGAGGGAGGGAGGAGGGGCTCTCAGCTGCCATGTTTCAGAGCCACGTTCAGGTCCGGGCTCTCCTGGCTCACCTCCCAGACCCCCTGCCTCAGCCACAGGCCAGGTGCCAGCCTGATGCACCTCCAGTAGCTGCTGGCCTTGGCACAGGGCCAGGCAGGGAGGGCCCCTCACCCACTGCCCGGCCACCCGCCACAGCTTGAGGGCGCCTTTCCCGACACCATGACCAAGTGTGCCGAGCTGCTGAACCGCACCATCGAGGTGGATTTCGTGGACATCAACGTCGGCTGCCCCATCGACCTCGTGTACAAGAAGGTACCAGCCACTCAACCCTGGCGCCCCACGGAGGGCAGAATGTGGGTGGGCGGAGTCCCTGGGGAACCTGTGGGGGCCTGTGGGCCTCGCTTTCCCCATCTGTACAGAGAGGACAGCAGGGGGTGTCGGGCCCAGCCAGAGTCACGCGTTCCTAAGCCCGAACCGCCCGTCTCTCCCAGGGCGGGGGCTGCGCCCTCATGAACCGCTCAGCCAAGTTCCAGCAGATCGTCCGTGGCATGAACCAGGTACAGCCCGAGACACCCTCCACCGCCGCCATTCCCCGCGGCCTGACCCCGGGCCCCACCAACCACACCCGTCCCCACAGGTGCTGGACGTGCCACTGACCGTGAAGCTCCGCACGGGTATCCACGAGCACATGAATCTGGCCCACCGGCTGCTGCCCGAGCTGCGGGACTGGGGGGCTGCGCTGGTCACGGTGGGTCTCGGGGCACAGCGGGTGTTGGGACTCCCGAGGCGCATCCCTTTCTAACCATTGCCTCCCTTCCTGCTCCTTCCTCCTGGTCTTTGGCTCTCCCTCCATCTCTGTCTCTGTCTGTCTGTCTGTCTCTCTCAGTCTGTCTCTCTGGGTCTTCTTCTCTCTCTCTGTCTCTGTCTGATTCTCTGCCCTCTGCCCCTCCCCCCCGCCTGGCTGCCTCTCCTCCAGCTCCACGGCCGCTCGCGGGAGCAGCGCTACACCAAGCTGGCCGACTGGCGGTACATCGAGCAGTGCGTGACAGCAGCCAGCCCCATGCCCCTTTTCGGTGGGTCCCCTGCCACCGGAGGCCACGCACCGGGGCCCACCCCTTACCTGGGCCCCCTCCTGCCCCGATGGGGAATGCTGCTGGGCTGACGAGAACTGCCGAAGCCCTGGCATCCCCGCCTGCACGCATCTCCCTGAGGCCCCAGTCTCTGTCCCTCAGGAAACGGGGACATCTTATCGTACGAGGACGCCAACCGTGCCATGCAGACTGGCGTCGCTGGGATCATGATCGCCCGGTAAGTGTGCCCGGGGCGGGGATACAAAGAACCAGCCGGGGCTGCCCCTGAGCACCCAGCCTTCAGCTCGGGGAAAGTGAGGGCGCGTCTGAGTTTGTCCCCAACGCCGGTGCCCCCAGCCCGCCTGCCCACCCCCTGCTCTGTTATTCCCCGGGCAGGGAGATGCCAGAGGTGGCTGCTCATGGGGCTGAGGCGGGGGACTGGAAATTTCTGTAGCTGTGGGCTCAGGGCTGTGGCTTGGAACTCTTGGGCTTTGAAGGTTGTGTGAGCATGGCTGGGAGGTTGGGGACCGTGGGTTTGGGGTCTGGGGTTCCGCCACCGGCCTGCTGACCACCGCCCGCCTGCAGCGGCGCCCTGCTCAAGCCGTGGCTGTTCACGGAGATCAAGGAGCAGCGGCATTGGGACATCTCGTCGTCTGAGCGCCTGGACATCCTGCGGGACTTTGCACACTATGGCCTGGAGCACTGGGGCTCGGACACGCAGGGCGTGGAGAAGACACGCCGCTTCCTCCTTGAGTGGCTCTCCTTCCTGTGCAGGTGGGATCGGGGGGGGCGGGGCGGGGTGTCTTGGGGAGGCCCAGCCCAACCCCGTCTCCGGCGCCCCCGTCTGCAGGTACGTGCCCGTGGGCCTGCTGGAGCGGCTCCCGCAGAGGATCAACGAGCGGCCACCCTACTACCTGGGCCGCGACTACCTGGAGACGCTCATGGCCAGCCAGAAGGCGGCCGACTGGATCCGCATCAGGTGCCCGGGAACCGCCGAGGCCCTGGGAGATAGTGCACCAGGGAGCCAGCGGGTGTGGGGCCAGCTGGGCTGGGGGCTGCCCCCCCCCAGGCCTGACCCTGCTCCCGCCCTCCTCACAGTGAGATGCTGCTGGGACCCGTGCCACCCAATTTCGTCTTCCTGCCCAAGCACAAGGCCAACGCCTACAAGTAGCTGCAGGGGCGGGCGGGGGTGTCTGAGCGCCCAGCGGGCTCCCCAAGGAATGAGAAGGCAATAAATTTTATTCTTTTAAAACCCAGCCCCTTTTGTGACCCTGAGGCTGTCTCATGCCGCCCCCCCCACCCCCCACCCCCAGCTTTCCCCCACCATCCCCATCCCCGCAGCTCCCTCCTTCCTCACTCATTCACCAGCCCCATGCTGGCCACTGCTGGTACCCAAAGGCCTTGACCACAAACAAACCACCATAGCTCATGAGATGGGGCCTTGGCCTGTGTGGGTGTGGATCAGGGCGGGCTGCCTGGAGGAAGGGGCCTCGGAGCTGTCAGGCAGGCATTGCTGGCAGAGGCAGGAGGCGGAAGGCGGCAGACCAGGCCCAGTGTCCACCATGCTCTCTGTGACGCCCATCTCTGGCTGCCTTGGTTTCCCCATCTGCCCCTGCCCCTCCCCCCCCATTACCCGGAACCCTGACCAGTGGGTGGGCCACAGCCTGTAATCCGCTGCCTGGAGTAACCGGAGAAACAGAACTCCGCAGGACTCTGAGCCTCTGCTCTGGGTGGGCTGCCTGTGCTCCACTTGCTGCCCTCCTGGCCTGCGTGGCCAGGCCCCCGCCTCCCTATGCAGCACCCCAAACACTTGTACGCACCCGCCGCTCCCCAAGAAGGCTTCAGTCCCCAGAGCCTGGATGCCACCGAAGGGCCCGACAGCCAGCCTGCTTCTGCCTGCACAGAGCCTCTTCCTGTTGTGGGTACGAGGGTGGGGAACACCCATCGGGGCAGGGACCAGGGCTCTGCCCGCCAGCCTCAGGACCCCACCCAGCTGCCTGTTTTTGTCCACAGGTTCCTCCAACGTCTGTCACCCCCCAAACCTGGAGAAAGAGGTGTTTCCAGCTCCTCCAGCAGGTACCGGCCTCCCACCAACCCTTGATGACTGGGGAGTGGGCAGGGGCATCTTGCTCCCACCCCTGACCCTAGATGGCTCCCTCCTCCGAAGGCAAGGCCCGAATCCCTGTCCTCCAGAGAGACCCCTGGACCACGGTCTGTGTCCCTCATCCCCTAGCTGGGGCCCTGAAGCCAAAGCCTGTCTCTTGTTCCCCAAACAGGTCTCCCAAAGCCAGGTCGGTGTCCCCGCCCCCCAGATGGGCCCCCAAAGCAAGGCCTGGGGCCCTTGACCTTTAGAGAGGGCCCCAAAGGCAAAGCCTACGTCCATGGACCCCAAAGTTGGTCCATGTTCTCCATGCCCCAGACGTGCCCCATGGTTTGGACCCCGTCCACCCCAGGCGGGTCCCAGAACTGCCCCTCTCAGGGCCACCCTCCCTGGCCACAGGTTTCCAGATGGCGCCCTGCGGCTGCTTCTTTGACCCCCGTGTCTACCGCATCGAGTGGACCACCACCGACTTCGGCCAGTCATCCCTGTACAAGCTGGCGGCCAGGGACCCCGCCTCGCCAGGCACCTACTTCCTGGAGGCACAGCACTGCCTCAGGGCCCCAGTGCCGCCCCCACTGTTACCCCACTACCAGCCGCCCCCCGCGGGGCCCCGGTACGGCATGCCCTGCTTCCCACCCGAGGGGCCCGGGGCCGAGGCCCTGGGCTTCGTAGGGGACGGAGTGCCCCCCACCTTGGTCAAGCAAGGCCTGGCGCCCCTGCTGCCCCCCAAGGAGAGCAAGCTGCCCCCGCTGCTCATCACGCTGCCCGCCGAGGCCACGCTGCCCTCTGGCGCCTATGGCCCTCTCAAGGGCCGCTTGACCCAGCTGGATGGGCCCGGCGAGCCCCTGACCTTCACCTTCAAGGAGCCGCCCCCTGGCGCTGGGCCCGGCCTGCTGTACCCGCCGGGCCCCACCGAGCCCAAGGTGGCCCCGCTGGGGGCAGGCGAGGCCAGGACCCCTGAGGTGGCCAGGGCCTTCACGCCGCCCAAGAAGGTGATGCTCGAGGACGCGATGAAGCTCTTTGACTGCTTGCCAGGCGGCCCCGAGCCCGCCGGGGACCCATGCAAGCCCCCTGGGCCTGCCCTGCCCAACAGCGGGGGCAGTGGGAACGACTCGTTCAGCGACATCCGCTCATTGCACCTGCCCGACGAGCTGCTGTCCTCGGACTACAGCGTGCCCGAGGTCCTGGATATCGTGTCCGACATGGACTTCTTTTACAACTTAAAGGCGCTGGACGAGGAGCCGCCGCCCTGCCCGGGGGTGCCTCCCACCGCCAAGCCCGGCAAGAGGAAGGCCGGCAACCCGACTGCCAGGAAGGGGAGGCAGGGCAGCAAGGGCAAGCAGGCTGTGGTCCCCACCAGCGCCACCCCCTTGGGGCCCAGGCAGGACCTGGGAGCCGCCCCCCATTAAAGCGGATTTGAGCTGTTTGCACAGCGTCCGGTTGGTGGCATTCGGGGGCCGTGGGCTGTCCCCTCACCCGCCCTGTCGTCCAGCGGGCCCCAGGCCACGTGGTGAGGCCCCTCAGGACCCTGGCGCCTTCTGGGTGCCGGGCTTCCAGAGTAGAGTCGGGGAGCCCTAGACTTGGGGTTCGGGACAATCCCTCGTCTCCTAGCACCAGAAAATCCAAGTCAGCCGGCAGGGATGAGGGGCTGCTAGGAGGTGGGGAGACACTGCCCGGACTCCTGCACTGCAAGGATTTCACCTCCATGTTTGATGGGGAAAGTCAGGTCTGCCCAGAGATGGGCAGGAACTTGCCTGGAGACACAGCAGCAAGCGGAGTGAGGCCTGGGGAGAGGCCTGCGGGCTGAGCTCGGCCTCAGCCCAGGTGGAGGGGCGGGTGTCGCCGATGGTGAATGGGAAGGCGTCCGCTCGTGTTCACGCGGAGAGCTGGGGGGCCTGGGGTGCAGAGGCAAGTGCTGGGTGGAGGTCTGAGAGTGGGGGCAGGGCAGGCATGTGGGAGACGGTGTCCACCTGGCACACGGGTGACCCAAACGGGCATGCACGTGATGGGGCGTGCAGAGCGCACCTGCAGCAGCGGCATTGGGACATCTCGTCGTTGATGGTCCCCCAGGTGCCTGGAGCCCTGCAGTCCCCCACGGAGCCCCTGCCTCTTCACGTCCCCCCAGCTGGGGGCCAGAGGCCAGGGTGGGCGTGCCTGTCCCAGGATGGGCATCCAGCCAGGCCCTGGGTGCTGAGTCTCCACCTCGGGCCCAGCCACACCTGGGTTCTGCTTCCCGGGGTGGGGGTGGGGGGCGGGCACAGGGCGGGCTTGAGGTGGTTTGGGAGCTTCAGTGCTCACACCTGTTCCCTCCTGCCCCAGCTCCTTCCCTCTCCAGTCCACGGAGCTCCCTCCCCCCTGTACCCTGGGCCAGGCTCTCGTCTGCCTTTCGCTTCTGGAGAGCCCAGGGCAGCTGCCAGCCGCACCCTCCCCTGAAATACTCCAGGCGACTGAAGGGGGTGAGTCGGTTTCCCAGTGACACCTAAGGAGGTAAGGAGAGATGGACCTCCCCTTGCCTGCCAGAGGAAGGGCCCTCCTGCCCCAGGCCCTGGGCTGGGTCTCGGGGACCTTCCCTGCTGGGGAACCCCGGGCGCTTGACTAGGATCCAGGAGGTGGCTGCGTGTGGGCAGGGGGTCTTGGCTGCTGGCACCACGCCTTGAGCCTGCGGGTTCCAGGGCTCAGAGACTGACGTGGCCAGTCTGGGCTGTACCGGGATCATCACCTATCTGTGTTGTGAACAGGATGCGGGCCTGGAGAAGCTAGGAGCTCCCTTCCCTCGCTTCCCTCTGAGCCTGCTGTGCCTGCAGCCGTGTTAGGGGTATTTTCGAGACAAATATGAAGTGCCCCCAAGAAGGGAAGGCCCTGGCAAACGACGTGGATGCGACAGGATGGGCTTGGTTTTCTTTAAGATTAATGCGGGCCGAGGGTCATGAAACGAGTATCACCTGACAGCCTAAACCGTCCCCTCCAGAGAGGCGTGGAAGGTGGACCAGGCAGCCCCTGGAGGTGCGGGTGAGGTGACTGCCCACTGCAATGGGTGTGGGAGTGGAGGTGTTTCTGTTTCTGTTTTTTTTTTTCGTGGTACGCGGGCCTCTCACTGTTGTAGCCTCTCCCGTTGTGGAGCACAGGCTCCGGACGCGCAGGCCCAGTGGCCATGGCTCACGGGCCCAGCCGCTCCGCGGCATGTGGGATCTTCCCGGACTGGGGTACAAACCCGTGTCCCCTGCATCGGCAGGCGGACTCTCAACCACTGCGCCACCAGGGAAGCCCGGGAGTGGAGGTTTTTAATGACTGAGTGGAGACCGTATTGGGCAATTTTTTTTTTTTTTTGGCCGAGCCACTTGCAGGATCGTAGTTCCCGACCAGGGATTGAACCCAGGCCCCAGGAGTGAAAGCACAGAGTCCTACCACGGGACCGCCAGGGAATTCCCAGTATTGGGCAGTTTAAATGACCGTCAGATGTGTTCTTTTAACCTAAGAGTGATCAGAAAAGTTATTGAGAAAGTTTTCACTAGAATGAGACAGCTGTCCCGTGCCACCTGAGGTTTGAATGAAGTGTGGGAGAGGGAAGTTCTGAACAGTTGGATAGACGATCAAATGTACATATACACGTATGTGCACATTGTATGCACACCTATATGTGTATTCACATGTGCATATACATATCTGTACACATGCATACACGCATGTGGGCATGCATGTTATCTACACGCATGTGTGCGCATTATGCAGCACTCATATGTGACATATACACGTCGCCCACACATGCATGCACATGTGTATATGAGCTGTTATAGGCATGTGCATACACATATGTGATCGCAGACATACATGCGCGTGCATGCACACATCTGCACATAGGCAATATGCATGTACATGTATATACACAGGCACACACACACACCACACACGTGTATGTGCATGCCTTATGTACCTACCTGTTATATACATGTATGTATACATACCTCTGCACATACATGTACACACACGTGGGTGCATCGTGTGTATGCATAACACAGGTACGTGTAAAATATGTGCTATGCTTCCAAATTTTATTCGTGGACATCACAAAACACACGTAAACGTGTCGGTCTGTGTATATGTCAGGGCTTATCAACAGAGGTGGACCCCCCCCCCGTCCCCGTCTTCTGCAGCCCCCGCCCTTTTCCTTGGGTCTCATGTTTCTCTAAGAGAACACGTCAAGTGTCCTCTGCATCTCTGGGGCTTGCCGATTAATGCTCCCACCACATGCCGGTGCGGGCTCGTTTCACCAAAAGCTCGTGTTCGCTAGGACTTGGGCTGCCCACCTTCTCACTGTTAACAACCCACGTAGGTGCCGTAGTTCAAAGGGACTCTGGCGCCAAAATGTTGAGGGAGGCAGGTGGGTGTAGAAAAACCACGAAACATGAGTGATACCCACTGCTACCGGCTCTCTTACCAAACGCTTTATTTCAAGACAACTCTGCCCCCTCCCTGCCACCCTGCCACCCCACCTCCGCCCCCCGGGCGTGCTCAGCACCTGGCCCAGACACACGCACAAGACTTCCTGCATCTCCTGCGCAGCCTGACCCAGACGCCCTTGACCCTGAGGCCCTGCTCAGTGTGCAGCAGCTTGGGGATCATGTAGGCCAGCCATACGGACAGCAGGGTGGCCCCCGTGAGCAGGACGATGGTGATCTCAGGCGGGAAGATGGGCAGTGGGAAGGCCCCGTAGACGTAGACGCTGAATGTGGTCTCCAGGTGACAGTAGCTGCGAGGGGCGGGCAGGGAGAGGCCGTGGGGCACCGCCTTTGGGGGCCTCA